GGGGGGGGGGGGGGGGGGGGGGGGGCATTTATGTCTCAGAGATAATAACATTCAAATTCCAGCAGCCTATCAAAGCTCATGTCAATCTCTTAAAAAATGAATGAAATTTTAAACGTTCCTATTGAAAGATAGTTGAAATGATGTGCAGTTGAACTTCAGCTACCATATGAGCCTAATGTTAAAAAACACAAGCCAAGAAAATTACGAGCCGATTAAGAATGACTGTCAAAGTGCTTAAAAAAATGGTTTTAAGGGTTAAAAAGTGTTTTTAAGCGCTAGAAAAGTCATTTCAAAGACAATCATAGAAAATAAATAATGTAAAATATTGCCTTTCAATACTTGCGGATTTTCATGCACGTGATAATCTACCAGATAAAGAAACCACAGAAATCTCAGCAGAAAATTAGTAGAGCCAGAGAAAATCGGGGACATAGGTGAGGAGAAGTTTGCCGGTATTTCGTAGTGCTTCCATTTAGAATTTTAGGAAACCATTCTCCCTGATGTAAAAAGATGCTAAGGCAATAAAGGGAGTTGATGACTCACCCCACTCATTACTTCATTAATCAATTCTTTAGCTGACTCAATCTGCTCCTTCAGCCCATTAATATAAACATTTCTCTCTGTCGATGTATCTCCGGGAGGAAGGTGCAAAGGGATAACCTGAAGGGTGGGAGTCCATACAAGAAGATGATAAACAGCATTACCGGACAATGTTTAGATTAAAATGTGAAAATTTTGAAAACAACCTTGCATATTTTCAATATTTTAAATCCATTATCAAACACGTATCTAAAAATAACAGGCTGTGAATCTTTGTTTCAAATTCTTGTAGGATCATCAAACAAATGCATCCTAAGATGTACGAATGATGAAATGGAGAATTTTTTATTTGAAGTATACTTTTCTAGTAAACTTTCTGAGTCTGACAATTCAAGGTTACAAATCTAACAAAACAGGGTCGAGCAGTAATGTTACTGTGCTTGCTAATTTTAGAAACTCTAAGCTGTTCTTGAACTGCAATAATCGCAATGGCAATGGTTCAATAGACTCTAATTCCCACAAATTACATACCTGAACACGAGCTGCTGACTTACTCTGTATGCTCTTTATAGTCTCGCCTCCCTTTCCAATGACAAGTGCAACCTATAACAACATTCTTATCATAATATTAGATTAACCTTAAAGGATGGATAAAACACAATAAAAGCAATTACCTTATTATTAGGAATCTTCATTACGAACTGCTCAACTCCAGGTTGACTTGAGGTCATTCCCTGATTTGTGGTTGCAGGAGAAGCTCCTGAATCTGCCTGTTACATTAAGGTTTCTAAATAGCTTCACATCTCCAACATACAAAAATTGACAATGATAAAGCATTTTAATCAGCGCTTTACCTCTGCCATTACTTCATTGATAAGCTGTTCTGCCCTGCTAACTTGTTCTGAAGTGCCCATTAATTCCACATCTCTTGTCAGAGATTGAGGATCAGCTTCGAAATCTCTGGTGATCTGAATTTTAGCCCCTGACTGGAGTTGAAGGTATTTGATGGTTTCTCCACCTTTCCCAATAATCAACCCAACCTACAAAAGGATATGAAAAGAAAAAATCAGCTTGACAGCAGTAGGCAAATGGTAATCTAACAGACAAGATGGCAACCAAGTACCTTAATATTTGGAATATTTATTTTCTTACTCGTGCTTTGAAAACCATGGTATGGACCTGTTTGAGTACCAGAAGAAACTGAACAACTTGAAAGTTAGCAAAATCTGGAATTGGAAATTTGTGCTTCTTTTCAATAGAAACATAACTACATGCTTAGTATTTACAGAACAGTGAATCTCAAAGTTGCCAATGCATGTTGAAAAATCGAATGCAAGAAGTGATGCATGACATGACATGACACAGAGTTTGAGTATAAAAATAAAGGAATGTCTACTTCGTGATTAGTAAGCATACTAAATGTGCTGAAAAAGAATCTCAAGTAACAGGCAATTGAATATAGAATTAAGACTACATAATCGTACCTCGAAACTAATACAATTAGTTTTTTGTAAAGAAGAGTTACACAATCCATTATAATAAATAAACAAACAAAGAAGAGAAGGGGAAAAAAAGAAAGATTGTCAATGTGAATTGTATAATACACAGCCTCAAATTGAAGTGTCTCGTGGAAGGGGCATTGGCTTAGTCTGGAAAAAAAAGAAAATAGATACGGAAACTAGAATGCATCGAGAGGAGTTACATACAGTTCCTAAACTGCTTGTTTAAAACTCTCCTTTTGTTATCATCTAAAAGAAACAGAAATTTCTAGTCTAAACTACCCTCTAATTACTACAAAAAGATTCCCAATTCCCATTAATTACATAGAGGTGGTACTAGTAACTATTAAAGACTTCAATTGGGGAAAAATTACATGAAGGTGTAGTTGAATGAGAGAAACTTCCCTTCCCTAGCTCTATCACCTCTACCCACCCTCTAATCTTGTCATTGAACACAGTCATTTCTCTCTCTCTAAAAATCCCATAAGCCTAAATCAATAATGTCGAGGAGGATCTTTGCCTTCTTTTTGACTGTAGCCCAAAGGCAATTGGGAAGTGTTCTCCTTTGTAGTTGAGTGGAAGCACCATTGTAGATTGAAGCTCTGACAGATGAAGTTTCATTAACTCCTTAATTGGCAGTGAAGAGGACGTGATTTCAACTCTCCTTTGTATTTAAACACAAATTGCACTAGTTTGAATTGAAGGACAGAAAACGAAGGCCATCTCCTTTGATCTCTTTCCAGGATTAATACTCCCCCAAACGAAGGGTCCACACAAAAAATTCACTTTTTCGGGGTTCTTATCCTTCTTTATTGCAAGAGCGAGTGCTATTGGAAGAAGAAACTATTTGTAATCAGGATTTGCAACAAGGACCTCAGCCAGAAGTTCTCTGATGTCTAAAAGTTTCATATTCTTCAACCAAAGCCTCAAAATCTTCCATTTCTGCCTCTAACAAGTTCCTTTTAGCAGTGATGCTCCACAAAGGAGTCTCACCATCCAACACATTGCATACCAACCCTTTTCTTTTTCTTCCTGTTACTAATAGCATACATCAAGGGGAAATAGTCTATCCAATCTATCATCCATAAAGGTCTTTTACTTCCCAATTTTAACAATGGAAAACCTTCCCCAGTGACTCCTTAGCTACATTAAAGACCACAAAGGAGGTCTTCCACTGCCAATTTGAAACCTCCCAAGTAACTCCTTAGTTTCGTAATAGATCACCCAAGGGGTCTTCCACTGTCAATTCAGCAGTCTTTTGTGTACCAACCTATCTTTTCTCGATACTCTCCCACAAATGTTTGCAAGGATCACAAAACTTAAGCAAGATTGATCCAAATGATACCATAGCTAGAGGTGGAGCTATATAAACATGGAGCTACTTATTGTTAAACGTGGAAGGGAGATTTTCATTTGCATCAAACTACAAGTTTCGACAATGGGAGATTTTCATTTGCATCGACATCCCCATTGTCAGATATGATATCAACAGGGTGGAAACCTACATAAAGAAGTAATGTCTATATCATTGGGTTCTAATGGATAGAAACGGCATAATTCTCTCCAAAATTCTTTCCTGAACCCCTTGGATAAGGTGGCCGAAAGATTGATGTCACCCCACAAAGAAGACTCACCTTTAAATCAAAATTTGATAGACCGCAAGAAGGCTTCTCCAAAATTTCCATAGCAGAGATTACCCTTTTGCTATGACTCCTCCCAAAGCCCTAAAAGGCTCCATAAAGGCCCACTCCAGTTCCCCTTGTCTTAAAAATATAGGTCGACAAAATTTAACAAACTTGACAATAAAATATCAGAGAAGCGCAAAATCTTAAAAGCTAGAACAAAATCAGAGTAATGGACAAGAACATTGTTTATCCACGTATCCAACATCGGCGTATTTCTATGCTATCAACATAGCCAAAAATCAATAAAAACTCATGTCGCAAGAATCCGTAACAATTCCACACATGTTCGAACAAACTCCAAAGCACAAAAATAGAGAAGCAGAACATCCACTTTACCTAAATTAAAAAGAAAAAAAAAAGAAAAAGGAGTCGAAGAAATTGAACATGCTTACCAGGAAAGGGGGAAGCGGATGACAGTGGATTTTGAGAGGCGGGGGCAGCAGAGGGGGGTTCGTAGTCAAAGCGAGGGCGTTTAGACTCGGCATTGCTCACAAGCTTAGCAACGATTTCCTGAGCTTTCTGCTTAGCCAATTGAATGTTCTGTTCGAGCTTGCGCTTGTTAGTGTCGGGGTGAAGCTCTTGGGTATCTTGGTGGTCTTTCATGGCGGTGGGAGTGAGAGTGGGAGTGAGGAAGAAGAAGAAGAAGAAGAAGAAGAAGAAGAAGAAGAAGAAGAAGCGGTGATAGGGCTTTGGAGTTCGATGAGCACAAACTCATTTCATTACATTTCCGTTTCTTCTTTCCTTTCCTTTCCTTTCCTTTCTCTCTCTTCTTTAATTTTAATAAAACTATTTTTGAAAAATTACCCAATTTTCAAAAACTGCCTTATATACCTATATTTTAAAAAATAACCATCCCCCAATTATTTTTTTTTAATTTTTTTCTAAGAAAAAATATCGAAAATAATCGTAGAAAATCCGATCAAAATTAGCCAAAAATCGGCCAAACAGAGAGTGATAATGAGAGGAGTAGCATAAAGAAAAGAGTTTAGAATCCGTAGCATAAAGAAAAGAGTTTAGAATCCGTAGCATAAAGAAAAGAGTTTAGAATCCGAACTAAAATCCGACCCTTAGCCTCAGTAAGATGCAGACTGAACCTTGTAGGTAATATGAGATGAGTCAACATTTTAATCGAGAACTTTTGTTGACAAGCGTACATGCATCCAACCATTCAATAACATCGGAGTAACTTACTTTGAAGGAACACCGGTAAACTAGAGTTGAACGTAGTTTTGTGACGACGTTCTTAGAACATGAGATACAACTTTATTGATTTATGTTGATGTAAGTATAGCTTTGCCCCATCTTACAAATCTTCTTAAAATTTAGGAAGGAATTGAAGAACATTGTGTACTATGTTCATGTTCTAGGATTTGAGTTACTCCAACAATTATGATATGTAAATACAGCCTCCAAAACTTTCTGTGCTACTACATGAAAACACATTTAGCCTTCATTTTAAGGCTTATCTCCAATGTCCCATCACCAAAACAATCCTTCAATCAACTATATTCGGTCTCGTACTACAACAATTTATTCATCAGTTCGCTCCCTCGCCTCGTTCACTCACTTCGTTCTGGATAATTCATCTGAAACTTTCTATGCTGCTCCTCCAATGTTCTTGGAGCCTGCTCGATTAGTTCTTCGGTGTATCTAGGTGATTCTCTTTCTGCTTCAGCAATATCGATGTCTTTCGAGGTCTTCTAAACCAGAGAAACATAGACCATACTGTTCTCAACAGACCACCATTTGCAAAATGGGGAAGGAATATGCGTCCCCAATATGGGTAGTATGGGCCAGGCAGTTTAACGAGTGTGAAGAACAGAGCAATTGTGATCAAATGCCATGGTACTTCTAGATCCTGAATCATAGAAAGGAAAAAGGAAGACAACTATAAATGAATCGACAAGAAATGTTCAGTAGAATTCACAGGAAACTAGAAATCAATCGAGATCTTTATACAGTTCTTTATATTGTATTTCTACTGAAGAACAAGATCCAGAGTGTGTTTCAATATAAAAATGAGCAACAGGAAGACTACTAATCTGTGTTCAAACATTCCCAGGGAACCGAATTTCGAAAATGATCGTTCAAAATGAAGAATACTACAAAGACAACTAAGAACATCAAGGAGTTCTTTAAACAGCTCTTCATATTGTATTTCTACTCTAGGACAAGCTCAGGAGTGTGTTTCAAATAAAAATGAGCAACAGGAAGACTACTAAACTGTGTTCAAACATTCCCAGCTAACCAAATTTCGAAAACGATCGTTCAAAATGAAGAATACTACAAAGACAACTAAGAACATCAAGGAGTTCTTTAAACAGCTCTTTATATTGTATTTCTACTGAAGGATAAGCTCAGGAGTGCGTTTCAAAATAAAAATGAGCAACGGGAAGACTACTGAACTGTGTTCGAACATTCCCAGTTAACATTATTTCGAAAATTATCGTTCAAAATGAAGAATACTACAAAGACAACTAAGAACATCAACGAGTGTTAAAAGAACAATAAGAAAAGTGACGAGCGAAAACGTAAAAAGAAACAACAAAGTGCTGATTAAAGCAACATATTTATTGTTTTCGATTGCATCATGTGCAAATATAGTTATGTAAATCCAGAAACAGTACAAAATGTTGTCAACGCAAGGGCGATATAACAGCAGAGCTAAAATGGAAGATATGAGACCAATGCTTTGTCAATGAACTATCATTATGATTCATTCAACTAACGTGTCACACGTAATGGAGCGATGATGCTGAAACCTTACCTTAAGAATTGGAGATAGACTCAAAGCTGTCTGTCTCATGACCTCAGCAACAGAGAAGCCAATTATTACTGGAAATGGGACGATAAGAAGCTTCTTTTCATGGGCGCAATAGGACATCTCGCTGAGAGAGGTGACGGCGAGCAATGGTATGCTCAAGTATTTGATGACCGACAAGATGAGATCAGCAATAAGCTGGATGAAGTTATTCAATGCTTCATTCCAAGGGAAACACTTCACTGGCTCTGGTGAGTTGTCCCAAAGTTTTTTTACCCTGTCCTTCAAACTATCCCAACTCGCCCTCCCTGGATCATCTGATTGTCCTGCACTCATATTCATTGCACAAGAGACCATAGATCTAGCATTCTGAATTCTTTTATGAGGTTTTAAACTCACTACGTGGCTGCATTCCGGTGATCGAAGCTACAATAAGAACAAAAATCGTACATTATAAATTTGGATAGAACGATTAAGTTGAAAGAATAGGAATTATAAAAAAGAAAAGGAAACAGTGTAAGCAATTGGCATCAAGTTCGTTCAACAATGAACTAGAGTTGTGGAAAATCCATTAAAACAAAAATGAAAATCCCTCACACCAATGTTAAACACTGCATAAGCTAAAATTTAAAGGCCGAATATCATTTCCATTCTTCATTGACTAAAGCACCACCGCATCCAGTAAATTTAATGATTTCATATATTCTCAATCATCTAACTCACGCATTCAAGCCTCAACTTGGATATTATTCAAGTCATGAAGTTCAATGCATAGTCCTTTTTTGTTTAAAGTTCATCCTGGGTGGGTGAGAGGATTCAAACCTCTGACATTTTGATTGAACATATATTAACAAGCTAAACTATGTTTACATACATAGACTATTAGTATGGAATAAAGAGGAACTACCATGGTAGTAGTTTGAACTCATAGCCCCTACTTTATGATTACATTCAATAAAACACCCAAAATTTTAAGCCAACAAGCTATGTTGAGAATTGTCATAAAGATTTGGTTCATGAATACATGGATTCATGAATATTTTTGGTACATTGCTCACTTCTATTCATGAATCTATTGGATTCATTTGGTTCATATTCGATATTGGTACATGAATCATCTTGATTCATGTATGACCATTAGTGTTGCTTCGATTCATGCATGAGAATTAGTATTGCTATGCCTATATAAAGGTTTTTCTAGCATTGTTCTAGGATGTGAAGTCATTGCCATTTTGTATTTGCCTAGAGGCAATTGGGAGGAACTTTGTAAGTGAGACGTCGTAGTGTAGAGTGTGAGAGTGTGAGAGGTACATTTGTAAACACTTTGATTATAGTAATTGCCTACCACCCGTGGATATAGGAGAATTTTTTCTCTCTGAACCACTTAAATCGTTGTGTCTCTTTGTTCATTTATGTTCGTGTGTGTGAGAGTGCAATCGATCTTGTTTCCGCTTATGTTACCTCGAAGATAACTACAGTCTTGCCTACTCTTCCCTCTTAAATAGCTCCTCGCTTCTTTCAATGCTATGAGAGGCTAAAACAGATAAGTTTATACCCATACCCATTAATGTAGAGGCATTCAGCCATCACAGCAACAGAATTTACCACCAAATAGCATTTTCCAATTAATCAACATCACCCAGAAATTCACAAGAAGGTTGTTCCACCAATTTAACCAACATGATTTGCCAATTACACAACAAATTTCATCCACATTGAGAAACAAAACAAATGCATTCTAAAAAGCTAGAAACCGAGCGCCCAAAATCCCACACATAAACTCAGCCTTCACAAAAATACTTGAAAAAGAGAAATAGAAGGAAGGGTGGTCGAGCTTACTCTGGGCGCTAGAAGAACAGGGGCGTGAAGGGCCATTTTAGCGGAAATTTGAAGGTGGGTCGCCATGGATGGGCGTCAATTGAAGCTGTTAAGGGACGAAACACAGTTTTGGAAGAAGGGTTTGTTCACGGATACACCATAACCCAAAAGAAACCTGAAAATTTGTGAGAGGAACAAGCTCGAACTCGAAGCGAAACGAAAACCTGAATCGGATAAAAGGGTTTAAGATGGCGGGACCGAAATCCGCTGCCGGTTCCCCATGGTAACAGTGGTGTAGCCCTTACAAACTTTATATTACAATTATTATATTTATTTTACAGTGCCACGCTCCATTTACACGACTCTCTACAATGGTATGATATGTTCAGTTTGAGCACAAGCTCTCATGACTTTGCTTTAGGCTTACCCAAAAGGTCTCACATCAATGGAGATAGTATTTCTTGATTATAAACTCATGATCATTCTCTAAATTAGTCGACGTGGGACTTTCTTCATCTAACGTGGTTAATGTGATATTTCACACTTTTTTTCTCTCTAGGATGAAAATTCTCACTAGATTTCTCTCTCTTTATTCACTTAAAAGTAATTTTTTTCAAGAGGCTCTTGAAAGTCTTGACCTTATGTTCGAGTCATAGATTGGAGAATTTGTAAAAGAATAGAAGATTCAACATCGTTAGAGGAGATGAAGTAAAAAGATGAAAAACTCGCAAAAACTTTTGTGACACCCGCGTAAAGGACGGGTACATGAATGAGTCAAGATCACATTCGAATGAGAGCGATCCAATGGATAGGATGACTAACAAAGGTTTAAAGGAAATGAAAATTACCACCTATACCAACAAAATGCACCTTTCTTTTTAGTGGCTCAATCGTATGAATTTCATGGTTAAGCGTTTGTTTGTTTGGAGCAATTCTATGTTGGGTGACTACCTATAGGATGCATGTGAGTAAGGACAAAACATACGGGAAGAACTCGTATTGGGTTAACTTATCGAGGTTTGAAACCGAGCGCTGATCACATGTTGCCTGCCTACTCGTGTGCTGCTCGCTTGTGATTATGCACGCGTGGACGTGTGCGTGAGATTGCCCCCATCACACGTGAGGGCGCATGGTCATCGCTTTTCACTCGTTTCAACTGTTTCTCATTCTAGTTTTAGTACTTACCTTAATTCTACTTGATCTAAGGTCTATGAGTGAGCTTTCGAGAAATTTGGAGCATTCTACTAGCATAAAAGTGAACTCAAGAAGACACATGACAACCGAGTAAGTAGCTATATTGATTCTAGGCAAGTAATACTTATAGGAATCATTTGGAAATGTATGCAGGCTAGTAAAACCAACTCTAGATGAATAGACTCAATATGATTAGAGCTTAGAGAGATCAGATAAGCATGAGAGTAGTCACGCATGTTGAGTGAACCCAAGCTAAGATTAGGGTGCTATAGCTAGAGCGGTGTACAACTTTACCTAAGATAGTACGTTTCCAGCATACCATGCACCCTAGGATTCTAGGCGACGATCAGAGGTTTAAACCTACGTGCACCTAAGACTGGATTAGCTCGAGGAGTTAGCCCTAAACGTCCTAGAAATGGGCGACGAGATTTAAATCGCCTAGACACCCCTAAGAAGGTAGTAAATCTTCACGGCATCCAAGAATGACAAAGGTAGCTCTCTAGGCTAATAGTAGTAGGCACAGTGTGTCCACATAACTTCCACTCTTTCCTTTCTACTCTAGTACTAGTACCGTCAAGCGAAACCTAGGCCAGTTAGGGTTGCTAATTGACAGTTCAGTTGGATTATCCTGAACAGCAAATCTGTCCTGAGAGGGGATGTAGGATTATATAGGTAGTCTTAGTAGTTGGCAAGCACAGGGGTCACTCTCCCAACCTTGGGTGACCATATGATTCTGAAGGAAGGTTTGCCAACTAACCTCCAATGGATAACATGAAGGCTAGCATACACCATACTTTCGCCATCGGAGAGAGAGAGAGAGATTTACAAGGTAGTGCCTCGACCCAAGACACCATTTACACACTTGCCTAGGCAAAGCAAGCTACCCTGTCTAAGAATAGAAAATAAATTCGCCATAGAGATGAGATTTGTTGCCCAAAAGACCTATGACGCTAGAAATGGATGAACCACCTCCCCCGTACCCAAAGTGGGTTCATGAGCAACTAAAGTACCTGTCCGAACTTCGAGGTACCCAGATGCTCAGATAGTTGTAGAGGCTAGGCCCAAAATTCCTAGAGCCTAGAGTAAAGCCCGTGGATATCTACTAGGTTAAGATGCAATGAGAGCCTAGGTTACTTACTGATTATTTTTTTTTCTAGGTGTCTATAGCCTTTGAGAGCTATGTGGTTAGAGGGGGTCATTTCGGAGCATTAATACATATTTGTAATTGAATCCCAAAGCTATTTTTCCATTTGTAATAAATTTGAACAATATCGTCTTGTAACGGTTTAGATTGCATACCCTAGCCTCTTGTGGCCATAACCCTAGATGTTAAGAGATCACGTAGTAGGTTAGAAAGTATAGTTCACTTGGTTAATGGCGACCACTAAAGGAATTAAAAACCCCACAAGCAATTCATTATCACAAGGAAATTTTGGATAAGTTGGCATTGGACGACATAAGATTCACCAACCTTTGAGAGACAAAGTTAGGAAGATCATGGCTACAAGATTTTGGTTAGAGTCTTTTGAGGCTAAGTTCAAACTTACGTACTTTTAGGAGCGCGAAAGTCGTGTTATGTCATTTAAGAATTATGGAGTGTCAGACATTCCCAATAAAGGATCACCTAAGAGATGACAATTTGCTATGGACTTTAAAGGAGAGGTCTAAGCCCTGTAGTAGTACATGGTTATCAGGATTACGTGACCACCCACATTCTAAGTTGTCCTTACGATTGGACAAGTATGCTTACAAAGTCAAGACCATGGAACCGTCAGGGTAAACCAGTAAACCTTGGACTTGAGGGAAACAAAAAAAAGGATCAAACTATGGTCACACCTTCACCGTCTAGGGAGATGACTTCAGTTCATCACACTAATGTGGTTGACATACTTGTTAAACATGCTCAAATAAAGGCAGAGC